GAAAGCTTGAATCTCTCTATTTTTATTTCTGTTTGAAATAAATATTTAATAAAATGTTATTTACAGCAGTTATCTCTTTCTTTTCTTATTTATTTCCTACTGCTTTATCTTCTGGATTTATTTCAAATCTTCGCTTAAAATATGGCGAATCGATTCTGGTAAGTATACGATGTTGTGAAAGATTAACCGAGAAATTACAAAAAGCGAAATGTGATGTCGAATTTCTTAGGTGTTGTTTAATTTATAATTTAATGCCTAATTTTATTAATATTCGTTTATGGAAGCCAGGTGTAAGAAGATCAGAACAATATAAGTCTTTTCAACGCAATTGTCTTATACGTGAATTTGAATGTAGACAGAAACAAGCGAGAAAATTAGAAAAACAAGTTTCAGCTATTTTAATAGAATTAGAAAAACATCTTTCTTCAATAGATTACCTGAATGTAAAGAAATTTTTTTATGATTCAGCAAGTCGAATACATACAAAAGTAATGAAAACTCATCAAAAGAAACTCGAAGAATTAAATCGAGGTCCTATTGGACAAAATTACGAAGAAATGAAATTAAAATTAATTCATAATATATCATCATATACTCTTTCAAAGGTAGAAGAAAGATTATTATGTCGTGGCTGGGATTTTTGCATAGAGAATAAAATATCTAATTTTTTAGACTTCGAAACAGATTTAGAATTAAATGCAATGAAACTACAATCTCATTGCCATCAAACAGTTTTTAGTTCAATTTGTCGTAAAATACATAATGCTTCACAACAATTGATGCACACATCTAAACATAAGAAAATAAGTAATCTATCAGATGAAGAATTAGCAGCTTTAAAATCACTAAAATCTAATAACAACATAGTCATATGTAAAGCTGATAAAGGTAATTGCATTGTGGTACTAGATAAAGTAGCATATATGGAAAAAGCTGAAGATGTATTAAAAGGAAAACAATTTGAACCATTAAAAAATGATAAATTTCATCGGGAACGAGAAGAAAAATTGAATAAATATATTTTCTCATTATTTAAACAAGGAGTAATAGATAATAAACTTCGTTATCAACTACAATCGACATGTTCTTCGCTCTCAGTCTTTTATGGTCTTCCTAAAGCACATAAAACGGGATACCCTATACGTCCTATAATATCAAACATAGGAAGTTACCAGTATAAACTATCAAAATATTTAGCTAAAGCAATTAGAGATGCACGCCCACAAGCAGAATCTTATATAAAAGATTCTTTCGAATTTGTGAAAAGAATAAAAGAAATTATATTAGATAAACAACAAAAAACTTATATTATGTGTAGTTTGGACGTAGAAAGTCTATACACTAATGTACCGGTTGAAGAAGCAATTGAAATAACATTAAATTATATCTATAAGCCTAAAAAATTAATAGATGCTCCTTTCGATAAAGAACAAATGAGAATACTTCTTAATCTATCAATAAGAGACGCACCGTTCAGATTTCAAAATAAAATTTATAAACAAATAGATGGAGTCGCTATGGGTAACCCATTAGCACCAATAATCGCGGATTTATGGATGCAAAAAATCGAAGAAAAATTGAATAGATACACTACCAGCAAACCGATGATTTGGTTAAGATACGTTGATGATATCTTTTGTGTATTCACCATCTCTAAAGAAAAAATTTTCGAATTCCACACACGTATAAATAAATGGCATAAGAACTTACATTTCACCCTTACGTTGGAATCTGATAATTCTATCGCATTTCTTGATGTTCTAGTTACTCAAAAACAAGATAAACTAACTACATCACTGTATCGTAAACCAACACATACAGGATTGTATATGTTATGGGATAGTAATCAAAATCGTCGTTATAAATTAGGTCTTACTAAAACACTAGTAATACGTATCTACCGAATTTGTTCAAGTAAAGAAATTATAACTCAAGAATTACATCTATTAAGAGCAACACTAACGAACAATGGATACCCACCACATATAATAAAAAGAGGTATATCTGAAGGAGAGATACTTATAAAAACGATGTCTCATACGAAGAAAGATGCAAATAACAATAAAAAAGTCATTTTCTTCACTATAAAATATTATGGACAAGAATCCATTACATTTGCTTCTCGTGTGAAGAAATTCTGTCGGAAATTACTTCCGAACTTAACAATTCAGTTCGCCTTTAAAAAGCACATGAGCTTAAAAAGTATCTTCTTACCAAAACTAAAAGGGATTGATGAAGAAAAAAAGAAAAAGAACTTAGTATATTCAATTCCATGTATGAATTGTGATAAAGTATATATTGGAGAAACAAGTCGAATGAAAGAAACACGAATGAAAGAACATAAAGCTAATATACAAAAACTATCATCAGACTCTAAACTCGTTGAGCATATTTTAAAATATAAACATGAGATTGATTTTTCCAACACTCAAATATTAGCATTCGAAAGCGACTGGAAAAAACGTGTAATTAAAGAGAGCATCTTAACGAGTAGAACATTTGGGAAGGCTATGAATGAAACAAAACATAATATACAAATAATCAGTTAAAACAACAACTATAATTCGTAATAACAGTAATATTAACAATCCTTACTTCATACATATTCACTAATCATACTCACTTATTTTCATAACCATCAATCACTGTATTTCATATAAGTAACACATTGACTTAGATAACAGTTATACATTAATCTATTGAATAATGTTAATATCCAGTTCTTTTACACTACCTGTTCTCTGAAAATAAAATAAAAATGAAGAATAAAAATTATCATTAGTGTTGTGGGAGATGCTCCACCTTAATTAAGGTCGACACTCCTCGCGCTGCATTTATCTTCCCGTACATCTTCTGTAATGAACACACTCTCAGCATATTCTGATTAATATTGTGGTAGATGTTCTGCCTTAAGATCGAGGTCGACACTACTCGCATTAGTCAGAAATGTCATTCAAAGTGCTTGTCCTTATTTTCACATATTCACACATGCATATATTCATTTATTATTTTTGTTTATTTAATATTCACTTTCTTTAATTTTCTTTAACTCATCTCATTTACATTAATATAACAAAAACGATAACATACAATGTACATAATCATAATATTCCATCTTGGCCATCATGTCACACAACATCACCAAATTTACTTCGACAGCATTATGCAACATCACCTTTCCTATTCTCGACATCTTTTATAACGTCATTCCTGATGATGTGTTTCAGACAAGGACACGAAAGCTTGAATCTCTCTATTTTTATTTCTGTTTGAAATAAATATTTAATAAAATGTTATTTACAGCAGTTATCTCTTTCTTTTCTT